AAAGAAAGAAGGGAAAGTTCAACCAATTCAGGCACATCACTATCAATGCTTTAATGCTTTTCGCGTAGTGTTTTTGACTCGCCTAATTGCTCTGCTAAAAACTGAGATTGAAATGGGATCTTTCGGCTAGAGAATACTGATGAAAAGCCATGGATGGTCGGTCTCCGATAACACTTTTCATTGGAAAATGCTTTAAATACGTTCATGAATTAAAAAAACACATAGCTGCACTGAAAGAATTAGTTGCTATGGAAATATACACAGAATCTATCAACAAAGAAGCTTGAGAACTTAAATTCTAATTCAGTAGAAAAACATGATATAATGAAAGATATATTGATAAAGATATATCCGAAAGATGATAACGATAGCGTTGGTAAGGGATACTCTATGGAAATTTAGGGATGAAAAATGAAATAGTTGCAGTTTGATTGTTAATTTTCTCCTCTCCTGGAAAATAATAAAATGAAAAAACTAGGAAACAAGATTACGAGAAGCAGGACGTTGACAACAGAAAAGTCGTTGAGGGACCTTCTAAAATTCCGGTGGTGCCGAGGACCCATCTGTATTTCAATTCTCAAACGAAAGGTTTTCTAGTGAAAGGAAACTAACTGTTAACTAGTGAAATGAACTAAATCAAAAATGCTGATAAAGGAAAATAAAAGCAAAGAGTTGATGATTTTTGATGAAAAGTGTTATTACAATAGACTTTTACTCATATGCATATTTTTTCTAGTGGTTTCGTTTTGCTGATCTATCGATTACTGTTATCGACTTTGTTTTCAAATTATTTGCATTACAATTACTATTTTGTAGTCGATTAAAGCAGAAAGTGGGAAATTTTATGCCATCAATCTTTCCATTCCATCTGGAATATCACCATTTTGGCTCGTAACATTGGGTAATTTCGTTACGGGGGATAAGGTAGCTCAGCGGGTTATTGCTCAGTTCGGAGCGCAATTCTGATGCTGAGGTTCTATTCCCCGCAGGATGAGGTTCTATTCCACCTGTCCAAAAATCCGAGTGATGCTGGCGACTCACCTATACATCTATCGTCAAGGGACATTTGTCCAGTGCGACAAGCCAGCGGAGCGAGTTTAACCAGTAATGGTGAGGATTCTTAAAAAAAAAAGATTTTATCATTACGAGCTTCTTCTAATAGCTCGCAATAATTACCATTGATCTACTTCATAGTGGCAATTTCAAATCAGATTTATTAAATTCAATGAAAGAATAATTAATGGATCGCTTTCCATTGATTAACATAACTGAATATTTTTGTTAGCTGAATCATATGAACCATCATTATCAAGCAAACAAATCGACAAAACCGACATTTATGAAAATTCCGTTTTCTTGTTTTTGCCTTTTTATTGTTACTGGCACTTTTTAATACTGCATGCTTGCTGCGTTTAATCTAATTCCACATTCTGGTACTGCATGCTTGCTGCGTTTACTGTATTTTTGCATTTATCAGCATTCGCATTGCACTTAATGAATTTTCAAAAGAAATGTTATTTTTCAGCTTTACTCACTTATTATGTGCATAGCTAAATTTACGATCTTTTGTCATCCTTAATTCCTTTTGTTTCTTTGTTTTTTTGATATCGCAGTAAAATATCGACCCGATTCCGAGTGCCCACAGCTTAACTTTTTTCTCTTTTCATAGAATGCATGAATTCGCAATGAGAAAATCTTTCATGAACTCATTCTAAAATTGGTCTAACAATGGTCTAATGTTACAACGATTTGGCGTCGATTTTTAGCTCGTTAAATATGGAATAAAATGATTTCAACCGACGGTTAATTAATATTCCCTTTAATTATGCGAAATATTTCCTCATTATACGGAATTCGTTCGAATGCATTTACATATATTGAAAGAAGAATTTATGATTTATTTTATCTGATTATCCACTTTTTGATCCGAATCCTTTTTCTCTTTATTTTACGATTTTTTTGCAAACGTAGTTATTAATTTAATTCATTCATTTATTACTAAAAAAGTCTTTCCTTCTATATTTATTTCATAAACTCATTTTATTCCAAAAATAAATTATCGAATTTCTAGTTTCTCACGACTATAAGCTATAACATAAGTCGCCCTAATCCCATCCTTGTTAGTTTGCATTTAATTATTCTAATCTTACCAAAGGAAATAAATCGAGAATGCTGAGTTAGTTCTCTTATATCCAAGTTTTACCAAAGCCAAGTGGTTACTAATAACATTATGATATCATATCAAGCATCCCGGTTCCTCTCTATCATCATCAAGAGCTTCTTCCACTAAAAATTATTTAAGGCTTATTTGTGCTTCTGCATTTAAGTGGTTCTGTGGCTATTCAGTTATCCAAGCCTAACCAGAAATGACGGATGCTTATTTTTATTTACTTATTTACTTTTATGTATTTGTTCCAATTAAAAGAGTTCTCATTCCTACTAGTTTTCTTGGAATTTGCTCGTATATAATAATCATTATCATTCCTCGTAATCGGTGATATAATAATAAAAAAATTAATGGTAAATTGATATCGGAGTTGTATTTTTGACTTGAGTAATCGCCGCCTCAACAGGCCAATAGATTTTATTTCATTTTTCAATTCGGCATGTGGATTAAAGGGAGTAGTTTTTAATTTTTTTTAACTATTTGAACTGTAGCAGCCCAGTGAAAAAGCGGGGAAGGAATCGGCGGACGACGTATGAAACTAAGAAAGCTTGTCTTTATTGGAAACGGCATACATAAGTTCTGAAAGTCGAGTGTTCGTTAAAATGATTCCGAATATTGAAAATTGAAAAAACTGAAAATTTTCAATGCAGATTTCTTGTCAAGAATTGTTACTTTAAAATGGAAAGTTATTAGTTAACATTTGATAAAAACGATTTCAACAGGCATTTTTTTTGCGGTTATTTTTATGAAAATGCAAGAAAATTATGATAATCTCCCGTGAAAAAATTTGGCTCATTTGGATGCTCGAAGCCACATGTTTGCTAAAAATAAACGTTTAAATCAAATCTTTTATCCGCGTGTCTATTGTTTTCGACATTCCGGACAGTGATTTTATGCCGAACGGCTGCGGAAATCTTGTTTTTGTTTATACGATAGATTAAATGAAGAAAATACTGCTTTTGAATCCTTTCAGTTTGAAAACAATTTGAGATATTTGTCAAAGAATTTCGATTAATGATCATTCTAACACTAAATTTATGGCTAATACTTTCTAGATGAACTATTTTATTTATTTTGTTTATTTTTTTTCCACCACTCATTGTTTCTGGTTAGGCTGGTTTCTCTAGCTATTTTGATGAGACTGAATTCTTTCACCAGAGAGAGGGTAGGAATATAAGTGAGTCAGCATTACCACTCGTTTAAATTTTAGTAACAAGGTTTAGTTAAACGACATAAATCGATGTGGTCTAGGATTAGGCCATTGGTCTACTATTATACTATTCGGTCGTAACGCCTTTAATTATTTATTTACGGAAAAACCAAGCAAAACATTGCATCTTTTGATAATAAGTGAATTTTATGGAAAAAAAATGATTTTTTATAGAATCAAGCCAACTTCATTTTGAACCAACTTCTGTTTAGATTCCATAATAATAATGCAGAATCATGTAAATCAAATCATTTTTGGTTTTCATTAACATTTTTGCTTTTTCATTTTCATAATTTCTTGATAATATTGCTTTTATTATTTAATTATGTAAGTGCGAATGATGGCTTCTTTGCAAAATTTTTTTGTTTTAATTATTTAGGTGCATTTGAAAATAATTATTTCTGCTTAAAATCGCTTTAACAAGCGATTATGGCGTTGCCGAATCCAACTGAAGATATAGAGGATAGCCTTTTATCTCAACAGCAACAGTCGATTCCTCTTTATGAAGCAAATCCGGAGGAACGAAAATTTGATGCAAATCGCGAGGAGCTTGTCAAAGTTTTAAATCAAATAACACCGCTAAAGAGTAAGTTTAAATGAATTTTTAAAATTTCTTCTTCAGTTGCAATTTGCTTTTTTTGTGGTGAAAATAACCCTTGTTTAAAATAATTAATCACTAATCAACGTAGCTAATTTAATTTTATAGTTGAACCGAAATCTGAATATTTGAATGAAATATATTAATAGAACTGATTAAAAATTCGAGAGTTTAAACACTGGTGATTGAGACTTGTAGAGTTATTTGAATATTTGAGATATTGAGGTATTTGAATGCAATATATTTTTAATTAATTTAATTTATACAATATTGTGCACAAAATCCGCAAGTCTATCATTTCGTCTGACATCCATTATCTTATCTGTTTTGTCAGACACTATCTGACTAAATCGTCAGAACGCTTAAGTAAGCTTCAAAAATTTGGATTTTTTGGTCAAAAAATTCGAATAGTGTGGAATGAATAGAAGTTTATTGTATTCCAGAGATATCCAAAGCTAGAAAAATTATTTGAATTAATCTCAAATTTTTAGATGTTTGATGAAAATTAATTCAGTAATTCAGTTGGTTAGCCATATAGTATATTTTGGTTAATAGGCATTTTTTTGTTTAAAGATTCTTTTTTGATAAAATTTTTTTAACTTCAGATTCAGGTATCGGTCCACGTCGCACAAAAATTTCATCGATTTGGCAGTACCTGACACTACGTGGTTCGTTCCGACTATTAGGTATATGAAAAAAATTTTTTTTTCCTTTTCCTTCCTCGAATTTTCTTTGATTATAGAACTTCTGGTATAACTGTGAATAACTTGTTAGGCACTCCCTTCCTTAAAATATTCCTTCCTTTTCCGTTCCTTTCCTGAAATTCTAAGAATATAAGGTTTTTCTGAAAATGAACTAATTTAATTTAAAATTTAAGTAAATGAAACTTTGACTTTTAAATATTTTGGTATTTATTCGCTTTTAGGGTTTTTTTAAAATTTCGCAAAGTTTTTTATAAAGAAATTGAAAATTTATAAAATTGAAAATTCTATGCTGAAATTCTACTGTATATTTTGAAATTTTGACTTATTTTTCTCATTTTTAGGTGAAAGTATCGGTAGTTATCCATTAATCTATGTTATTTTATCGTTAACGATCTCGCTTTTCTCATTAGGTATTTTCAAAATGGTATTAAAGGATCGAATACGCGACGGGTATACACCTTCTAATGCTCCATCTAGATATGAAATGGATGTTATGCGAGAATTTTGGAATTCTACGGGTAAATTCATTTATTCTAAATTTATGTAATAATATCGACTTTAAGATCGAATTTTGATTGTTGCAATAAAAAAAGACGTTGAGAAAACAATTTATAGCATAATCTTCTGCATTTTTTCTCAAGATTCATTGAAAACCTGAAAAGTGTGCTTTCTTTCTTTCGAATGATGGATGTTATCGCACTTTAATGAGAATTTTAAGTCTTCCAATTTGCAAAAAAATATAATATAATTCAAAGTGAGCTAAATTATTTCTTGTCCCCTTACTTATACAAATCTTATTTAACAAAAATTTAAGGTGATCCTCTAATGACTGTTGTTTTATTAACCGCAAAAGATGGTCAGTCAATGTTGAGGGACGAGTATCTTGAAGAAGCCCTCAGGCTAAATAATTTTTTTGTTAATAATTATACTGTTGATTTGGACAATAGGTCATCGTTTAAATATAAAGATGCTTGTTCAATTTATTGCAATCTCAACATCGCTCTCGATCTTTTTAAGGTTAATTTTTCTATGAAATCGCACGTTTCCCCACTTATTAAGAATAAGAATATTAAGAATATTATGTTATTAAGAATATTTAAAACGTAAATTTTTTTGCTTTAAAAGAAATAAATTAGGTTAGAGCGGTAGAATTTGGAAAAAATAGAAAATAAAATTTAGAAATTTCCATAATTAATGGAGCAATTTTAGAAAAAACTGAGATGCAAGCAAACATAGCTATTTGACAATGTAATATTTAAAATCTTTTTTATTTTATTGCTTATATTTATTTATTTATTATTCTATTATTTCCTTATTTAGCTGTACCAGTTGATTACCATTCACCATTTATGGTTCTGCTCATTCCGCTGGCTATTAGGATGAGGTATTTCTACCAGAGAGCTAATTAAAGATAGAAGTGCAGTTGGGTTCCCATCACTATTCTCAATGATCTTCAGTGATAAGCTGTTTACGCCAAAAGCATAGAGCATGTTTTTTGAAAAGAATTTCTGAACAATGCCATCACTCGTCCAAATTGCCTCCTATCAATTTTTTTCGTAGATTCCAAATCTTCCTAAAATCGCATCAAATCAAATCGGAAACATTTTTAATTTCCTTAATTTTTTATATCTAATCTTTATTAATAAATAGTAATATTAATGATAAATACTAATTTGAACCTCAACTCCGATTAATAAATAAGAATTTTATGTACAAAATTTTCAACAGATGTATTAATTATAGCAAGGACTTGATGAACTGAAAGAATTGGCACAGGAAGGAAAGCCTCTTTCATCGATAACGATGCTTCGTTATCCAGTTGCAAAGATTAAAGGTATCGAAGTTCATCTGGAACGGTTATTTTTTGGAGTTAAAAAAAAGAATATTGTCAAACGAGATTATTTCGTCGAAAAAAATCTTGATGTTGAGAAGCTACCCGTCAACACCAGTCTTTCACAATTGTTGTCCGAAATCGACTTTGTTAAGGTTTATTTTTTGGCTTCTAATTGGTACCAAACATAATTACTGAATTTTATCGATATTCTCTTTACAAAGTAGTAAACATTTGTCGTCACCATATATTCACTTGATGGGAAATATTTCCTGAAGATCTGAACTGGTTGAAAAAAAATGATATTAAAGGAACAACTAAAGTATGTGAAAAATCTGAGAAACGATGTAGCATGTTGAGTATAATATAGTATATTTTAAAATAAAAATCATTTTCTTTTTAGGTTGTTTTGTTGCTTTTTCGGGCTGATAAGCAGAATGAAGATTTAGCTCGGAAGTTAACGTTATGGGAATTGTCGTTATTTAAATTTTGCCGTGAAATTTATAAAAGTGATTTAATCGATATACAGGTTATAAAGATTGTAAATTAATTATCAATTTCTTGAACTTTTCCAAATTTACTTCTATTAAGTTATCAAGGAAATGAATTTTAGATGATTGGAAGTGAAATTTTGGATCAAGAAATGATAAAAGATGGACGAAGAATCATGCCATATTTTGCTGCAGGTATGATTACAAAGTATGCTTGTTACTTCTGATTAGGCTTGCTCCAATGGACTCGTTGAACCAAACATATTTTGTCAGAGTCACTTTGCTGGAAATATAACCAGGATTTTGAAAAACAAGTTTTCTTCTGCAGGAGTAGCAATCCAGTCGGTAATGAGAACAGCAATTTAAGCCATTCCACAAAGGAATGTTACTTAAAAAATATTCTTGGATTTAAACTGTTGAAAAAATTGACAAATTAAGAGCGCTCCTTAACTTTTCCAAATCCAATTTTCCTTTACTCTGATCTCTATTCGATTTAGGATTTGGGTTTATGATTACCTTCGTGACTGTAACAGTTTTAATGAGTGCAGTATTCTATAATTCTATGGATTGTGGTAAAATTCTCGTTGCATGTGGCTCCATTATCTGTCCAATTTTATCGATTGGCACTGCTTATGGAGTTATTTCGTTGATTGGAATAAGGACAAATTCATTTATGCTCGTTATGCCATTTCTTATCATGGGAATAGGTACTCATTCATTTTTTCACCCTATATATTTTTTATATCAAAAATATCGAGATAAACCACAATTTTTTAAATCTAAAGAGATTTTCATAAGACTGATCTAATGAGAAAAAATATTTTTCCTGTAGCATTTCCTTCACTTGAGCCTGCAAGCAACAAACCACATTGCCTGTGATTTTCTAAGATAATGAAGAAATTTTCCTGTCGCATCAATTTTGTTTTGTGCATTTCTGTCTCTCTTCGGAATTTTATTTGAAAGCATTATTTTAAGAATTGGCTGGCTAAGTTTTATCTAATTGACAAAGGAGCCTATAGTTTAAAAAAGGTTTTAAAAGATTAAAATTCATTGATTTTGATGGAGTCCTGTTCTTACTGTCTATTTATAAAATTTAGGAGTGGATGATGCTTTCTTGATGACACATTCATGGCAACGACTCTCTTCATGTTGTAGTTCTGTTTCTCTTCGCCTCGGAATGGTATTTGAAGATGTTGGTCCATCGATTACGGTCACTTCCTTGACCAATTTTATTTCATTCAGTATTGGTGCATTGACACCAACTCCAGGTTCATTTAAACCATATATTGAATATTAATGTTAGGATTTATCAAATTTTTGAATTTATTTTTGCACTTTTTTTGGTTCATTTCTTTTAGAAAATAAAATTAGTGAAAAGTGGCAAAGGGCAGTGCTTAAATTTTTTTCTTTTGCAGAGATTCGATTGTTTTGTTTTACGACAGCAATAGCTATGGGATTGGACTATTTACTTGAACTAATTCTTTTCGGACCTATATTAGCTCTTGCAACGAAATGTGAGAAAGCGAAATTCCCAGTTACAAAGCCTAACTTGGATTCTTTAAAAATGAATGATGCAGGGTGGAGAATATATGTAAATTTAATTATTTTTTTGAATTTTTCTCCTAGCATCCTTCAGATATATCGAAATTAAATAGAATAGAACAACTTTTCCACTTGGGATAAAATCAGACAAAAATCAGCTGGATATCAGCTGGACTTTGATTCCATGTTTGTGGAATATAATGCCAGCAATCAACATAGAAATTGTTCCTAAAATTTCGAAATTTTCAACTATTTTGGTTAAATAATTCGAAAATATATACGTAAGATTTGATAAAAGCAAATCTTGGTCAAAAGTCTATAGTTCTCAATTTATGTTAATTATGAATATCTGTCGGCAAAAAACTGTTTCAGATATATTGATGTTGTTACGATTAGGCACAACTCATATTCTTCCTACCGAATTAAAACGATATTGCGATATTTTCAGATCACTAATTTCATGCAGTGGTTATTGAAATTTTATTGTCGTGTAATTGCTCACCGTTTATTCACCATATTTATATTAGTCGCAGTTGCTATTTATTGGTATTTCGCGATTGTTGGTGCTTTAATGATTAAAACGAGATTGGATACAGAAAAAATTTTGCCCAAAGATTCACCAATACAAGCTCCAAATAAGATTCTCAACGATATCAGTAATCCTTCATAATAATTCTAATTTTTCAATGTTTTGATTTTGATAAGTACTATAAGTTAGTCCGGAATTTATGCAAGTCAAATCAAATATTACTTATTAGATCAACGGAAACTTTCGTTGCTGTTTCTAAATTAAACAATTAACAATTATGCAATATTCTGGAAATTCATTAATTAAATAATCTACGAAAACTGGAGTTTCAGTTTGGGCGGAATATCATCCAATTACTGTTATGGTCAACAAACCGCTGGATTTAAATAATAGCCGTCAAATGGCGAGATTTTGGCAGCTTGTCGACGAATTTGAACGATTGCCATCATGTAGAGGTGAATTTATTATGTTTTTTGTTGTAATAATAATTTGCATATTGCAGTATTAATATCATAATTTTCCAATTTGTGATGCTTCTATCCTTATTATTTTACAAATAATTTTAGGAAATATTTCGACTTTACTATGGCTCCGTGATTACGCGAAATTTTATGAACGTGGTGATCCCCTCTTTGATTTGTTCAGTACGTTATTCGGATTTAGTGATCCAGTTCAGCAAAACATTGATCCTAAAACTATCGCTCTCGACTACAAAAAATTCGATGATTTCCTCAAATCTTCATTTTATAAACATTGGAGAGCTTTTTTAAAAATTGCGAACTTTGAGTATGTCGATATTATAATTAAATTTTTTTTCATAAAAAAATCAATTCTCTTCCTTTAGCAAGTGTTCAGTATTTCTGGTTTCGCTGGTTTCACTGGCTAAGTCTGAATCCTTCGACACTGAGTCTCATAGTGGTGCGGATTGGTTCTCATTGCTATTTGACTCGTAATTATAGGTTTATTTCGTCAAGAGATAGAGATCGAACCATGTTTTGTAACGTATTTGGTAATCTTTGCATAATCTAAACACTACATCACTCGGCAATACTGCCCCTATTAACTTAATATTTGTCAGTATTATATATTATAATAATTGATCCCTAATTCAGGAACGAAACGCGAGTGATCAGATTTTGGTTCAGCGTTGCTTATCAAAATATGTCAACATGGCAGCAGCGAATCGATATCATGCAAAAGTGGAGAAGTATTGCAAGCAATTATCAAGTAGATTATTTAAAAGTTTTTTAATGATAAAAATTTATATACCTCATAAATTATGTACCAAATTATGTAAATTTTCGAAATCACAGCTTTCCTTTTGAGTTTCATAGCCATTTGATTCATATCGAACACAGTGCGTTTAATTAAGATGATTAGCCAGTTTCATTTAATTGGATCAGAAATTGATTTTCCTATCGGCTCAGTGATGTCGTGTTTCGATGATTTTACGGCTTACAGTACTTGGTTTTGTCCTTTGAATATGGGAACCTTTTATGAATAATTCGAATATCATATCAGTGTTCATAAAGATATAATGTATACACATTTACATACATAAAATTTTTAAGATCGCAATTTATTCTTTGCTTTGTAGAGCGAAAAAGTAGAAAGCATTCTTTCATTAACCTAAAGCTTTAGCTTTTTTTAGATTTATCACTTTTTGTCATTTTTTAGAATTGCAATAAATTAATTAATTTTTCAAATAATTATAGGATTTAAATGTTACCGTTTGGGAAGCAAATGGCATGTTTGTTGATCAAATGCTTAGTTTAAAGACGGTCGCCGTACAAGTTTGTTTTCTTTCTGAAGAGTTTGATTCGAAAAATAAAATTAAATGAGATTTAAGCCAAAGTTTATCGTCTAGAAGTGCTAAATCAGTGATAAGTCAATTACAGACCGGCTCTTTGACTCTTGTGTGCATGGCCGTTGTATGCACAATATTTATACCAAATCCATGCAGTGTGATCACTGCTTCGATAGCAATTGTATCGATAAGCATGGGTGAGAAATTTTTTTATTTTTATTTCCATTATTCTCGACTACTATTTGATTTGTGTTGCGCAGTACCAGTTAATTTCTTATATTTATCTCTTTTTTGTGGTCACAACTCACCATTCCTGGTTAGGCTCGCTGCCAAAACGTTAAAAATTCTCATTAGGCTCATTCGTTTCAAGACTTGAAATTTAATACTGCACTACAGAATTCAAGCCACATATAGATTTGATTTCCTTTCTATCCTTTTATTGACCTTGGCTTTTCCTTAAACTTTTAAATGAAGAAACTACTTTTGAATTATATTATTTTTCAGGAGTTTTTGGATTCTTGTCTTGGTGGCATTTCGATCTTGATCCAGTGACAACAGCAGCAGTCCTCATGTCTATCGGCTTATCAGTTGACTTTACTGCACATGTCTCCTATCATTATCAAGCAAGTTTTATTTTATTCAGATTCAGATATAAGGAATTTAAGAAAATAGTAAGGAATTCGTGTTTAAGCGTTTAATTTTAAAGCAAACTTACCTTATTTTCTAAACATATGTAAATGAGATTTCTTTTCTTTTTTTTATCAAAATTTATTATTAACATTTTTTTAAAATTCTCATTTTCGTATTACTCATTTTCTGATTAGCGTTCGTTGAACCATTTTTCAACAGAAATATTTGGTTAATTACTATTTATAATGCTAAAAGAAAATGGTTTTGGAAAACCTATTATTTTATCTTGCAGCTGAGGAATCGGAAAGAAATGCGCAACGGTAAAATAGTAAAGATACCTCTAAAGAGTGCTGCAGAAAAGTTAGAAAATACTTTAAAAAGCGTCGGTTGGCCAATGATTCAAGCTGGTGCTTCAACGATTATGTGTATTCTTCCTCTTCTTTTTTTGCAGGTTGGTGTTGGTCATTTTTATCTATCATTTCATTTTATGAAGATGGAAAATTAGCAATAAAACAAATCGAAAATTAATCGATTACAAGTTGGTAACTTCTTGTTTTAATAGCTCCTTCACCTGGTTTTACTGATTAGTTTAGTGATTATCAGTAATTACTTGGTGATAGAAATACAGTTGCTCCTTAGCACTATGCAGTTGCAAATGCTATTTTGATATACGAGAGAATAATATGATTTTTTCAGAGTTATTCTCCAATGGTATTTGTTAAAACAATCATATTAGTGGTTTGTTGGGGAATACTTCATGGTCTTATTGTTCTACCAACTATTCTCACCGCTCTACCTGAATGTTTCACAAATGCAAATTGTTATCGTTTATTTTTATCTACAAGCAGCGAGAAATCCTTTCGTTACATTAATCCTGTTCAACAAGAAGCTCTAAATTCGCAAACGTTGCATTAGTGGTGAACATGAGAAATTCGAGAGAAATTTTCCAAATTGACATGTAATTTCTTTAAAATGCACGCAAAAAACTCTCTCGATGAAAGATTGGCTCATATTTTCTGAGCCTCTTTGTGCCTCACTTTGTGACTCCTTTATGTAGTTTATGTAAATATTCTTAATTATTATAAATTGGCGACTAATTGCCCTAATAGGACGGTTATAATATTTCAAATCAAGTTGTTGATCTAAAAAGATTTCTTCATGAAGGTGATCCATAAATCCAAATAAAAACGAGATCTTGAGACGCAATTTCTGTTCGTAAATTATTTGCGTAATTTTTGAATTCATTTCTTGATTCGCTTTATTGAAGAACATCTTGATTTATCTCTATTTCAAATCTATTTTCATATTTTTACTGTTTCTCATTAATGAGTTTAAATTAAATTAGTATTATATTCTTACGCATCTTTCGTATTTTTCAATGTTTTAAGATAGTAATCTTATTTAGATTTTGTATTTTGCTTTTTGAATATTTCTTTAAATAAGTAAAAAAAGCTTGAGAATTTATATTTCCATGGTAAAAGCAGAAAAGAAAAAGTCAATTAATGTTATTCATTTTCAAAAGACGAGTAGAAATGTATTTATGTGATGATTTACAAATCTGGAACTCGTAAATTACGAGTGGCGTTGATCGACATACAATATAGGTTAATAACGCTCTGAGCAAAAATTGCTTCGCAAAAACTATAAATTTTTCGAAGAATTAGCAAATTCTGCAGATTTTTAAAATGTTTTTCTTATAGAGAAATAAAAACTTATAATAAATAGGAATAATAAGCAAAAAAAATCCAGATGGAAGAATTCTTTTGGAAAGATTAATTATCCACGAAGCAAGACAAAGGCTAAGCGGGTAAATGACGCATATCTCGATTTAATTTTTTTCAAAAATTTCTATCATTTCAAAATGAAACAAAGTTTTTTGATTTGAAACCAAATTAATAGCCAAAGAATCCAAAGAAGAAACTTATAACACTGTTTAATATTTGTTGAGAATTTCTTAGTTAAAGGTACTTTAAAATTGAAATAACGGATTTGAAACAAGTCTTTTCATCCATGACTCGCTGACCTTTATCTCTTATCGCATATTTCATCGTTCGGGTCAATTTTCCACCTTCCATTCTAATATTTCAGAAATCAGCTTTCCTTTCTCCGATTCGATTTTCTCTTTGAATTCCGCATTTTCCTTTTGCAAATCTTGTAGGCTTTTTCCAGCTTTTTCATCTTTGAAGTCTATTTTCTTTTTATTGCATGATTCAACATTAAATATTGTATTTTTTGAATTTAGAAAAATATATATAAAATAAAATGAATAAAATATTTATCAACTTTGCAGAATATTGCGGAAAATAAACAATTATTCATGCTTCTATTATTTATATCATTGCTCTTCCTCCACGGTTCATTGCTTCAAGAAGTAACTATTACAAGCAAAGTTCTTAATTTATTAGGTTGATCAAAGAGGTCGTCGGTTGTGGCTTATCTTTCTTATTGGAGACCAATCTCTCAACCAGCAAATTTATTCAAAATTTATTATCGAAAATCATACTTGACTTCATTTATCAGTGAACATATCTAATATTAGTTCATGCTAGAGGATTTGATATAATTCAACAAATTCAATATATACTTTAAAAACGAATTCATTTGAGGTACTCAAGTGTCCCTACGTAAAGCGTCAAAACTGTTGCTTCTTTCGAATTCCGTCGGATTGTGTTCCAAAGCATTGCTTCAACTATGTAATTCAACATTGTCCGGATCGAAAATCATTAATGTTTAAGCGGTTTATGCGCAAACCAAGAGGTGACATTCGTCGGGCCCCAAATATTTTTTTACGAAGCGATGAACTGGTAAATGATAATCCAGATTTTCCAAATATTCTTCTTGAAATATTTTTATAATTTCTGTAAATTTCAATTTTTAGCCGAAATGTGGAATAGAAGAAATGGAATATCGGCCATGTATTAGTAAAGCGATTGCTAATAAGCTATTCAATTCATGCTGTCAACTTTATGTACCACAAGAATGCCAGTTCATGTGTATATACGAAACTAATCAAACGCTAGCCAGGAAGATGGTATTTTTAGTTATTTTTACTTCCTGATTGCAGGAGTGAATTGAACCGATTTTTACCAATGATTAATTAAGCTTTCTTTGATTAGTAGTTGATTTATGAATAAGCCAAATTTTTGTGCTTGAAATTTTCAAGATTTGGACCAAGATTTGATTTAATGTGGGTATCTGTCAATAAAATTTCAAAAGGAACGTGCCATCAATTTATCAAATATTTCTCGGCTGCGTAACATTTAGGACAAGAAAATAGCTCATTTACCCAACAGTGATAGACAATTTTTGTGAATTACTTGGTATAATTTGATTTTATGAGAAATATAGAAAAAAATATTTTTTATTTTTTAGCTTATCACTATGATAACTGAGAAGAAATGCAGTATGAAGTATTTATCAACAATACTTTATTGTGCATCACAAAATCGTGATAATCGAAAATGCTGCACATATTTAGGCTTAAATGCTCCTCACTTACAGGTGATTTTATGTATTCCATTCCATTGTTTGCTTGGATTTCGCCCTTAAACTTTTGCATTCTCAGTGACACTTAATAATCTTTCTTCAAATAGCATTAACTATTTTTTTTGGCTTAAGTGGCTATTAAAATGGGAACCTTTCCGCCAGGAAATAACTTAGAAGATATGACCACAGTCGAAGGAGCATGCATACCAGTCGATTATTCTGTGGCATCCAATAATAATTCTAAACAGTTCATGGCTCAAGGAGTTTTACGGTTCAGCCATTACAATAGCTTATATATAAGACAGTACAATATAATAGTATTGCAATACAATAATACAATAACTTTAGCAGTTTAAGTATCTATTTTTCTGGTACTGCATTGAAATTTTGCGACTCATGTGATGCATGATATGGTCATAATATTTTCTCCTTTTTTCGTCTTTTTTTTTCTCATTGTATTTAATTTATCATTCCTGGTTTGGTAAAAACCTTTGATCAATAATTTTTAGATCAGATCGCACTTTCATCGATAGATTCATTCTCGAGTCTTAATGGGTGGTCTTCTTCTTCTTCTTCTTCTAATAGCTCTCACCATTACTGGTTAAAGCTAGAAGGGTAAGAAGCTTCCAAGCGGTGCAGTCTGATGCCATCGTTGACAGTAATAGAAGCCATTCCTTTTTCCATCGTCTAAGTCCATATATTGCTGGTCCACCTATACGTTCAAAATCCTTTCCTGTATCAGTCCAGGTTTTGAATGGGCTTTTGACGCTATCCATCATAGAGTTTAAGTAGCGAAATATGTGTCAACTCCTATGGTGAGCGATGAAAAAATGCCCTAACCAATGGAGGCGACGCTCTGTGATGGTAATATTAATGCAGGCGGTATTTGAGCAGAGGTGGAGGTGGATGCAATCATTATCTGCTCAGAAGACCTGTTAAATGTAAACAGGAGTGGTCAAAGGCAAATGGCTACTACTACCCTATGCATTATGAAATGAAAGCACAGAAGGCAATAAATATAAAAAAATAAATATATCCAAAGGCAGGCGAAAAAAAACGAATATATTTGTTTCCATCATTATAAATATTTTGTGGAAGTTTTTTTCATAATCAGTTTTTGCGAACACTGTCTGAATGTATGAATATGCTAAAATGTATATTTTTATATTTAAATTAGGTTTTAATAAAAAAATGCTTGGAAATTTAACCCATCAAAGATTTATCAGCCAAAACTAAAATCACCCAAATCACACAAAAATTCATTTGAAGGGCATTTTGGGATTTTTGAACAATTTTAGTCAATTAAATTAACTTTTCTGGTTGATTTTTTTCATGAATTTTTTGTTTGCTTTCGACTGAGAAAAATTTTTTCATTCTAGGTTGGAAGTCGTTGTCTACGGATGTGCGATCCATCTGGAACAGCAATTGAACGGTTAGAAAAGGAGGATGCAACTTGTTTATATAACTGGAACGTAATTATGTACTGCCATCAAAGTGGTATGCGAGAAATGTAGCACGAAAATTTCGGAAGTAAGCCTCAGCCTTCTGTTTTACTGATTAGGATCAGTCAAAATGTTTATCGCTTATTTATCTCTTTCGCTTCCACTGATCACAGGTCAATTCATTATTCTAAAAATCTTCGTATCAAGATGAAACGCCGGAAACTTCTTGAAAATTTGATATTTGCTAGAACCAAATATACATTTTGCCAAATTCTTCCCTCATTATTTCTAGCAAATGGAATGCGATTTTTAAAGGATTCAATTCGGTGTGCAATTAATCAATCATTTCCTTAGTCCAAGATGCTGTCATCTTTGAGTGACCTCGCAATTTGCGATATTCGCCATCGAAACACGGACACATCTTCAAATTTTTTTCCGTGATTTTGTGAAAAAATTTCACTCATATTAAAGAACAACAACGCACCAATAAATTCCTTAAAGCTGCTTTACATCTAATATTTCAGTTCAGTTTTTACAATTTTTTTGTCTGAAAAGTGGCATTACCTCCCTAAAATTGCAATTCTGCAATACAGAACACTAAATGTCGATTCCTTAAAATGCGAAGACCGAGGGAAAGACGAATTTTTGAAATTCAAGAATACACTTCCTTTTGATATATTGTTTAAAAAATACAGCTGCTAAGGAAATATAAAAATATAACTGCTAAGGACTTTAAAAAAAAATTTTATTTATTTCAAAAAATTTTTACAACCACAATTTAAAAATCGACATAGAACTGTTCAAAGAATTAAGAATGATAATAAATAAGAATCAAATTTTCTTTGTGTTAAGTAGAGATAATTCATTATTAAAAGAAAATTTTGGTATAAATCTGATTATTTTAAAAAATAAATGAAAAAAGAAAGTCTAAGAAAGACTCTTCACATATTACAATAACAATAATCTGCATGAAACTGAACTTGATTTTCACTTTGATCTGGTCGATAACCAAAATTCTATAAATAATCAAGAAGTATTGTAAAAAACCAAATGTAAATGAGAAATGACATCAAAACATAGATGCAAAATGTATTTTAAAATATGTTTCAAATAACATGAAAGAAAAGGGCAAATTCTCACAATTGGGACATGAATATTGAAAAAAATTTTCATTTTACGATTAAACTTAAATTCTGTATAAGTTAAGAAAGATTAGCCATTATCTAATAATCCCTTGTTTCAAAAACTTGAAAAAAAACTTTTTAAATCGGAATATTCCGACCAAAAAATATAAACAAAACAAAAATAAGCGGAAAGGGCCAAAGCCAAATTAAAAATTTAAAAATCTACCAACTCATATATAACAGCAACAATGGAAGAAATGATAAAATCTTTTCAAGCATATAAATTCAAATATTATATACAACTGAACTTAGAAATACAACTCACCGTTCTCCAAAGGTTAAACGATTCCAAATAAAAAGGAGACTAGAATGGACATGGGCTTGTTGTTTTCGTTAAAAAGCGAGATTGTAGGGGTTCTATTTCGGGCAGAAGTGCCTTTTTAAAAGTCTTAGCAATATCGGCCCTCAAGAACTATCGCCAAGTGATTATCTGGTAAAATTTATCAAATTATCATCGAATTCATTGAATTAATGGAGCGAGCCTAACCAGAAATGATAAGCACTTTTAAGAAAAAACAAAAAATATTTTATGACTGTGTACTTCATTTTGGCAGTGGTTTTATCAAAAACAGCCGCTCATTTGTTTTGTCATTTGTATATATAGGACTGGCCATATAATGCTTCAATAATGCATCCATTGTTGTAAAAATACGAGTGCCAATTTTAAAAGTCTTATTTCCATTATCCACTTGCACCCAAAAATGTTTATTTCGGCCAGTTGCTTTCAGCGATATTGAATAATCACCAGGCTGAAATAAACAAGTATCCGTTGAAAATAAAAATCTATTATTTTCAATATGAATTTTTCGCTTTAATACCGTTCGAAAAAAAAATGAATAAGGGACATACATTGCTTTCGCTGTCTCTTACCAAAAAATCTCCATCAATGCCGCGTTGATTCAATAAAGCATCACTTTCATCTCTGGTCACCTTACCATAATACCATGGCTGATTTGAGTAGGGCCCACTTAGTTTCGCAGGAGAACTTTAAAAATTTATCAACTTCATAGATTAAATTTTACCGAGCTTTCAAAAAATTGAAAGAAAACAATATTGAAGTTTATTGCTGCGAATAAAAAAAGGAAGAATAAATGAAATGATTTCCTGCAACCAAAACTGACAAATTAAAAGATGAGAGACAAATTTCAAAAATAAAATTTTTTTATCACTTCTCAGTCAGTTTTTCATAAGGCTACTTCGCCATTTTTTTGAAAAGAACTGTTTTGTGTATTAAATAATTGCACTTTTGATTTTAGTACCTGCTACTTATTGACGTAGAAAAACCGTTTGCTGGTGACGTAGCAATTACTGGTCGCTTTTCTGGAGTAGCATTGAAATTATCAACATTAGGTGCAGGGTTATGATCAATAATCTGGAAAATGTATGCTTTTCATTAGTTTTGATTTCACCTTATCTAATCGAAGTTTAGTACGAGATAGTCGAGCGGATAGTATTTTAGATTATCTCGATGGAACGGAAATGGATCTTTCCACTGATCGCAATAAATGTGCTATAAAAAAATCAGTATAGCGTAACCAGAAATGTTCGGCACTGAAACTGAATTAGTAATTGAATTAGACTGTGAAGCAGCAAAGAACCAAAATAACCAAAATACAATACAGAATTTAATACAGAACTTAAAAAATAAACAAAAATGGAATAATAATACCTCAATATAATTAGTTGGAACAAGTCCTGTACTTCCTTTTGAATTCCGCGCCTTCCACCATTCTGGATCGTGAGCCGGATGGTCAGTTATTTCTAGTCGTTCACCTAAAATGCACTCACTATTTTTGCAGAATGCATATTCACCCTTTTAGCCTTGAATGAAAAGAGAAAAAAAATTAACCGACAATAAAGGATTTCTATTCATATTTTTATTTATATCACTATTCGATTTCACGAGAGAAAAAGGTAATTAACCCTTTCGAAAAGATAATTCTTCAGCATTCTGAGCATCGAATGAATATAACGTTATTACAACTTCAAGAACCCTTTGATTGTTTGAAAGCATAGAAGAACCATTATCAACCTTTAACGTAATCTGAGAATTATGCAGTCATGAAAAATTAAAAAAAAATTGTTTAGTATCTCAGATTTCGATGGTTATCATAGTTATTTCCAAAGATCTGTATTTCGTTCACAATGAAAACTTCTTTCTTAACAAAGAAAATTCGCTAATAAAACTCTATGATTTAATAAAGCCAAATTTAATGAAATTTTTCATCATCTAATAATGAGAAATATCTTCCTCTTGAAGAATTCCAGAAACTGGTTTTAAAGAAATCTAAATTTTGGAACCTCCGATTTTTGAAAATATCACATAAAAATGATAAGAAAAAAGATCTTAGAATTTCTCAAATCCACTCCCCTCTAAAATTTTAGTTTCTGTCCATTTGAATTATATTATTTCTCCTTTTTTTTTCTTCCTCTTCTCAACTCCTCTGAATTTCTTAGAATGTCATAGAATGATGTGAATTTCAAATAAAAAATCACATTAAAAATAGGGTGGCGATATAATTCAAAATATAAATTCGAAAAAAACTGAAGATATCTGTCAAAAAAATTCAAAAATTCTTTCGTGAAGAAAAAACGCTATTTTTCCTCTATTACTGCTTCAACCACTTAACTCATGTGGTCCACACATGTGTACAATGTAAGCACGAATAATGGCGTCTAATAAGCACGACGTATTTTTTAAATGGCAGATGTCGTTATTTCACATTTGCATTATTCACTTTTTATGGTTCAATTCACCTTTTGAGAAACAATACCACCACTTATTACACTGCTAATATTGCATGGAGCCTTTGATGATGAAAAATAAGTATTTGGTGGCGATTCGTCAATATAGTTCGATGGAAACCAACCAGTTTGACTATGGCACTGAAATGAAATGAAAATCTTCGAAATTGGTGTACAAAAAAAATAGTAATTTTTGTTCATCGTAAATGAGTAGCCGATATTCTCAGAGATCAACGAATAAAATGTTCAAGTTCCAGAAATTTATCAACAGCTGATTTTGCAAAATAAGGCATTAATGAAAACAAAAAAAAAGTTAAAAAAAAATTCAATGCGAAACTATACCTGCCCTTTCCACCAACCGTCTGAACTTTTTTCAGTGACAGTAACGACATCACCTTTTGACAGCCTCAATTCATCTTCTCGCTGTGGTTCATATGAATATTTTGCAACAGCATACGATGTTATATTCTCAACCTGCAACAAGTGTAAAATAATACCATTCACTTGTTTATTATCCATCGGAAATTTCCTTAAAACTTTCAAAATTTTAAATGAAATTTAACCACAAATTTTGCATTGATATATTTATCAAAACTAAGGAAATAAACTTCATTACTGTTGTTTTTTGCAAAATACTACGTGAAATTTTAGCAAGAATAATCAACCTTTGGTTTCCGATCGAACCGATTATCACCATTTCCTGACATTGCTGCTAATGCTGGACGATTAGCCCAGTTTGAAAGATTACTCGGAATCTGAAATTTAGTAGGATGAACTGCGTTTTAAAAATCTATTCAACAAATCATTCCAGCTAATCATATCTTCATCTATTATTTAGCCAACATTTGGCAATCGATTTAATTTATTTGAAGGCCAATCAATAACAAATTTCAATGTAAAATAATTTAAAAAGCCAAACCTGGTTAGTTTCAGGAAGTTTCGATTTCGACTTACTTTTGTTACCGAATCCCTTTATCGTTCCTTTAGCTTTATCAACAAATGACTCTTTCCGAACGTAATTTGATGGCACAAAACCAACCATATTATCCTCGTTTACAACCTACAACTTAATAAATGCATTATATTATATATTATATTATATATTACGTATTATATATATGTTTATATTTTTTAATGAATATTTATATTATTCCTCTCATTTATTTTATTAAAATAAGGTTAACTGATAAAGATAAAATTCTATAAAGATAAAAAGTCTTTAAGGATTAATATTAAACAATAATTGTCAAATAAAAAACTCATGAAAAAAGAAGATCTCAACAAAAATTCAATAACTTAGTTGATGATTTGCAGCAAAATTTTAAATGAATTTTTACAGAAATCTTCTAAAAAATACGAATCTTTTAAAATTTCAATCTAATTCAATAATTTGTTCCAAAAATCGATCATTGAACCACTTATAAATTGTATCCAAAAAAGATCCACTCAAGAGTGTATCACTCACCAATCATCAATAATATAATAACATACTATAAAAACATATAAATCACTGAATAGTAAATAGGACAATGTATTGCGCCATTAATCGCTTTAAATTCCTTCAATAATTTATCCAAGCATAAATCTTGATTTTATTATCACCAATTAAAAAATAAAAAACCATTTTTTAAATAATTAATTTTAAAAATAGGAAAAAAACGAAGAAATGTTCACCTATCCACCTCAATGACATTTAAAGACAAATTAAAAAAGGTCAAAAAAGTTAAAAGATATTAGGAAAAAAGTATCAAAGTATCAAATGTTGCTTGATGATAAATTTGTTTCGCAACTAAATGAACAGATAAATATTTTGCAGTACAAATATATATATATATATATATATATATACATTAAATGAAATAATTTCAATAAATTTGTCCCTAACTGCAATCAATTCATCAAATTTCTAAGGTCATAAGATTAAAATATTAAATAAAATATTAAAATATTAAAATACACAGCGAAAAACAAAAACAAAGCAAGCATAGGCCCTTCTTACTGACAATATTTTTGAAAAAAACGACTAACCTTCCACCAATTTTTCGAATCATCAATAAGTTTAAGCCTTTCATTTTTCTTAATCGTCAATTCTTGCCTTTCTTGCGCATAATAATCGTATTTCACGATAACGTAAGTATCGTCAACCATGATTCCTACGAAGCAGATGGGATTTTTTTGTTATATTTGGTTCCTCCCTCGCGATTCGTTACTTCTTGAAGTAGTAATAAATTAGAAATATAACTCAAAAAAATTTTTGGCAGTTATGAATGCACGGCCGCTAACGGCCTCAATTTCGAAGCCTGAAAAAAGGTTAATATTTATGATGTAATTTATAGAAAGCAGAGATATCACGATATTCCACACAGATTAATGTCATACGCATTTAGATATAATAATTTAAAAGAGACAACAACACAACATGAATGCCCTACAACCAAACTTATGGCCAGAAAATCGAAAAGAATATACAACATACTGAAAAAATAAAAAAAAGAAAGTTCGATTTTCCGATGGAATAAAAAAAATTCTGCAAAAATAAAGCATATTGTCCAATAAATCATTTTTTGTCTTATTACGCAATTCTATTCTTCCTTTAATTCCTAGAAACCTAAGAAAACCATTACATTTAAGAGAATAAGGAATAAAAAATTTGCAAAAAGAAATTAAAATCCACAAAAATTTTCCTAGTTTAAAATTCTTTCTTGAAATCCATTGAAATTCACGAAATAATTTTGCCAATAAAAATTCCTTAAAATTAATTGAAAACCACCCGAAATATTGCAAAATAAGTTCAAATTGATTACTACTTCTTCTCCATATTTATTACCGCAAAATGCTAAGTGGAATTGTAAGTAAAGACGAGTTGGCAAGGTTTAAATTAAAAGATTTCAACTACTGCTTCAAAATATAAAAATACTGAGGTTGTTTTAGACAAATCATCAACTGTCGTAAAAAAACAGTTGTTTCAAGTACGAAAATAGAAAAAATAAAATAAATTTAAAAAAACAAAATTTAATTAGTTGCGAAAAACTCAAAACCATAGAAAATCCAAAATCCAAAAAAAACTTAAGGAAATTCAAAATTAAGAGAACAAAAACATTCTGGATTGCGGGAGTATAGGAAATTCACCTATTCTTTTTCCTTTAAAGAGCACCCACCATTACTGGTTAGATTCGCTCCGCTAGCTTGTCGCACTAGACAGATACCAGACAGTCCTTTGGAAATAGAAATATAGATGAATCGCCGGCATCACCCTGATTTTTGAATAGTTTTACTCCTGCCGGCATCGGCACCCCGAACAAAAACCCACTGGGCGAGCAATTCTACTCTTCTTTGTTTTTCTCCATTAGGCGTCACTATCACCAAGGAAGAGCGGTACTTTGGCGGATTCGAATCCAAGTCTCGATTTTCAGAAATAATTATCTTGCCACTGACGCACAACCTATTCTTCTAGCCTTTCTAGCGAAGGAATTTCGAAAACATCTTCAAATGATAAATAAAAATTAAGATTAAAAATTCTGAAAAAATTTAAGCATTGTTTGAAATCTAACGAAATCTTCTAAAATTAAATTGATTAAAATTAAATTTAAAATTGATCAGTACAATCGTCAAATTTGCAATTTCTGTTCCATAAAAATAAAGTTCAACAATGGCAATAATGGTGTTAAAAATTTAATGTCAAATTTAATTTAATGAAAATTTAATTTAATTTAAAATTTAATGGTAATCTTAGCTTTTCTTTTGATTCCATGTTTTCAATTTTCAAATTTAAAAACATATATTGTCAATGATTTTGCTTTGAACAAAAAGACAAGTTTTTCTTAAATTTTTTATCAGCGATTTCGTTTGACCAATTACTTATAGCTTTGTATAGTTTTTTATTAGTTTTTTTACTTTTTTTCAAAATTCGCAAAATAAATCAAATCCCGAAATATTTAAAACAAACATGAAATACTGCAACTATACAAAGTTGTTAGGAATAAAATCTCAATAAACAATCCGATCTCTTTCATTTAGCTTCAAAAATGATTAAAATTTTATATAAACTAAAATTAAATAAAACAACAAATCGACAGCAAAAGGTATCAAATTGAAAGTGAAAATTTGAAAGATTCGACTTTTGAAATATCGGCCATTCAACGTTCGTTAAACCTTAGAAAATGGAACGATTCAAAGCAAAGTCACTGACAAATCGTTTCTCGGTCAAGAAAAAAAAGTAAGCAACATGAGTTGATAGACTGAAGGAAAAAAAAGGACCTTTATCACACTAACCAATTGGAAGCACCAACTGATTGCAAAAGTTCAAAAGTTGGCAACCGAATGAAATGAACCTAACCAAATCAATTCAAATCTAACCGAACAGAGTTAAATTCAACAGAATCAGCCAAATCCAATCGAATCAAGTTTTACTTAATCGCTCCAATTTTGTCGAACTGCAATAAAATAAAACTGTTCAACAGTAAAACCGAATTAATATAAATTTTAAGCACCTTATATAAACTGAATGGTTTTCGTTCATTGCACTGTTTTATTTTTTGTACCAACATATGGTGTGAAAACAGTTCGATGAAAAGCCAAAATTCGATCAAATGAAGAAATGGATTTTAAAAAAATTCGGGCTAACCAAATAATTCAAAATGAGTAAAACTTATGAGTTTTACTATTTTTTTCTCACAAAACCAGTCAGTTTTCTTTTTTAAGGTCCAAAATAATTGTAAAAAATCCCCCACTCAAGATCATCAGTCTGACTTCCAAGACAACAAAAATATCATGAGCCTCCATTCGATTTACCTAAATTCTATGTTATCAGAATATAATTTATTTCTACTTGAATTTCTAGCAATTTTACAAAATTCTTTAAAATTAATTTAATTAATTAACTGATTATTTTTAAATTAATAAAATTAATTTATTAATTAATTTACTGAAATATTAAACGAAAATTTTTTCAAAAATTATCTAAAAAAATTTTAGATCATACGTCACATATTATTAGGTGAAGTGAAATGACAAGAAATGGGTGATAGGCAAATGGAATTTAAGAAAGAGAGAAAGATATTTAAGTTGACCTGAAATCCGAATAAATTTTAATGAATAAATTTGCTAACTAACGAATTCCGCAAAAACTGCCAATTTCTAATTTGTCAGCCTGAAAAGAATAATCGAAAATTTCCATATAATTCGACTAGTTTTATTTTTCTTCACCTTCCAATTTCTTATAATTTCTAGTTTTGCCGGTTGCAGGTGATAAACAACGACTCTTTTGACAAAAAGACACAAAGGGATTTAGGTACCATTCGCGCTGTGTGACAAATTTATTCATTTAGTCAAAGGAACTCGCAATGGTTATTCATAGTTAATGTAGAATACTAATGGACGTATCTGATTAATTTTTTGATTTCATTAATAATTTAATGGGATTTATAAGATTTAATATTTCAGTCAAAATACGCCAAAAAAAATGGATAAAAACAATCGAATCTTAAAAATTAAACGAACTGAGCTGAACTCGTTTGCTTTGCTCAAATTTTCGACCTCACGGTGAACCTTTCACCTTTCGACCTTCGAAACTGAGTCAATCTATTTTACTTTCAAAAATAAGATAACACATAGGTTTAAAATATTATGTTGGAATATAGATTAAAAGACATGAAAAATGGCACGGAAGAGAGAAAGAGAGAAATCTGAAAAGTGCTCTAGAAAACAGATGTTCAGACAATTTAGACCAGAAATTAGGTGAATGAATCGGGTTGATTCATTGACCCACAATGGTCTTTTGGCTCAAATAATGTGAAAATAAAACGATATTTTCATGAAAGAAAATATAAAATTCGACATCTTCTACTTCATGTTCATTAACTGTTGATGACCTCTAAAAAAATTAAAGAAAAACAATTAACTCTGACCTGAAATAAATAGAAATGATTGAAACTCAGAAGAGATCGAAAGAATTCCGATCTGAATCGAATAACAACGGCCTTAGCCTGGAATCCAACGATCCGCAATATTTGGCTTTAATAAAAATCAATTGGGCAGAGATTATTTCAAAAATTTTTTAACGCTCTTACAATTTATACAAAATAGCCGAGACTTGCCAGTGCCAAATTCCGCTTAAAAATTAAAATTGGACTATAAAATCGTGCAGAAATTCGCCATTAACTGAGCCCGAGAGTTCTACTGGTTTTACTGCAAAAACTTTTACTGCAAATGATCCAAAAATAAGATGACCTTGCCTAGCGAGATCACGAAGCCTGCAACCAAAAGCGAAAGTCTCTACTGCAAAGCCGCCCCCCCCCCCCCCCCCACTCCCCAACTTGGGCTCCTTAAACTTCACTAAATAAGTGTGGGAAGAAAATTCGCAGATACACTTTCCACTTCTTTTGGCGACCGATGGAGATCGCATAGAATTACGGCCCACGGTCAATATAAAGCGGCCATTGCTTTGTTTATTTTTTTCAAATTTTGAATGAAAACGACGATTTTTTTTAGTTTTTTTTTATTTGTATGAAAAAATAACAATTCAGTTCAACATTCTGAGAAAAGTAAATATCGCTTCAACAAATTTTTTCATTTGAATAAGCAAATGAATTTTTTTTAAAATTTAATTCTGATGCTTCTGTGTTTGCTAATCAATATTGGTGATTTGTACAGAAATGTACCGTTCTATTGGCCAATATGGATAATAAACCAAGGCTGACGGAGGCCAAGGCTGACTAACGCCAACGCAGAGAAGGCCAGACCATCATAGGCTGTATTGCGTTTGTTGAGAAGAAATTTCTTGTTCTTCATTCTCCAAGTAAGTCACTGGCTGCAGGGGATCTAATGCTGGAAGATGCCAGACCAGGAGTGGTGAGATTTAGAGAAATGACGGGAAAATGGATGGCTCAGACAAATCTCTTGCATGCAGTGCATTTCGCTTTAAACCGATCTTACAAATAACTTCTGGCCGATGAGTTTCAACGAAATCGCCGCGGAACTGAAAACTATCCGAATACCATTCAACTTATTCCGTGCATCTTCAAAGGACGCGATTATCCAGCAGCCCAACATCCATGGAACACCAGTCCAACAGAGCGTACGGCGTTTCTCTATTTTTCCACTATATTAATTGTCTCAACTGGAATGCGAATATCGAATATTTGTTTAGG